TAATTTTACTTGTGACGAACAGATGTATTGTGGTGGGAAGGATAATGTAAATATATACAGTGTAGGTAAGACATTTATGATAAAGTACCTTAGAATGGTTGTACTCCTAAAAGTTTTTCATTCACAGCACAAGTTATACACAAGTTTACAAAGACGAAAAATTTCACACCTTTTGAAGGATTGATGTTAAGCTCCTTTCAATACTTTGAGGGTTAGTTGCACCAGAAAAATGATGATTATAAAAGGAAAATTACTTCATCAGGGTTGCCAACTAACTTCATACACGATAACTTATCAACTAGATAACGATGAATTATCAACTATATACTTTAAAAAAAGGCGAAAAATGACTTTCATTGATATCCATATCAACGCATAGATTTTCAGAAATGGTTGTATTTTTCTGCAGACTTCTATTGTCATAATGAACAGAATAAATAAAATCATCTGTTGATCCCATGTCAAACATTATCCCACCGTAAGATAAAAGTACAATTTTGAAACTTTAAATTGTTCTTACTGAATTGGCACAAGCTACGGTATGGAACAACGTGTTTAGTGACGTAGAAACGCGTAGGTTTATTGTTCTTTTTTCCATTTATACATACTCGTATTACAACAATCAAAACCAATAAATTAATCTATAGAAAAACTGCACATGGCATACGATGCCACATGTGCATTTCAAAGGTGATGTGGTCTTCACAAAGAATACTCGATTGGAGTTGCGTCTGTTTTCATTGATGATTTATTATGCCCTAAAGTAATTTTTCAAATATCTTTTACTAAATGTTGAATGATAATGTTTAATATTTCGCTTTAACATTACAGCTCAAGACCTGTCTTTGGATTCAAAATCCTTGATAAACCCAGATTACTCTCTGTGTGTGAGCTACCAGTGTATTGATAATAGCTATATCTTCAAAGAAAGGAACTGTGGTGATCCTAGTATCAACGATGTGGCTTGCAGTGAGTTTATTCTTTAATTTTAAGAATGATTAATTATTTCTGAAAGTTAAGAAAGCCTAAATGTTGAGTATATCGTGTCTTATATATAACCCATTAATAATAAAGATTCTGGTAAAATCCTTCATTCAAAATTTAAAAAGTGAAGATTACAAAGCACCGATCTATCTAAAAAAAGAACAATATGAGTAAATTATTTGTGCTTATAATGTCATTATAACGACTATTTCTAGTTTAAGAATGTTTTCGTACTCAGAACTTGCTCTCTATTCATCGCATAAATTGGAAGACATGCACACCATGAACAGGTGATAGCGGAATCTTACTGTATATAAAAAATACGATTGAAAGGCTGGTGGGATTTCGTTTGTCATACAATTTAGTTGCCCCTTGGTCGTTACTGTCTTTCTTAGGTAAACATACAGAGATAAAATACATGTGATAAACTCTTTGCAATTGGTTTCTTTTATTTCAAATTCACTGGGATTTATCGAGTTGATATATAGAAAGGAGTGACTAAATGAAATCATTTTTTTAAAATCAGCATTGGTATATCTGAATGTTTGGCTAAAGGCTACAGCAAATTATTTCTTCCTGCTATAGAGCAGTTCTTGATTCTCAGTTCGCAGTATTAGATAGATATGTAAAGTTAGCTACTAGTAACTGGCTACTGTTAGCTGGCTACAACAAGTGGGAAAAGTTGGCTACTAGTAGCTGGCTACGCGAAGTAAGTAAAGTTGGCTACTAGTAACTGGCTACTAGTAGCTGGCTACGACAAGTGGGCAAAGTTGGCTACTGGAAAATAACTTGAACCTTCTAGTACCTTTTCTGTTAAATTGTGCAATTAATGGATACACATATTAATATTATTGAAGTAGCTGGACTTTTACATCGCTCTTATCTACTGATATTGCTGATAAAACTATCTCCTAGCTTTTGCACATGATGTGGCACTGATGTTACTAAGATTTCGAAAGTAATAAACTCAGCTACTAGTACCTGTTTTGTAAAATTGTGGAGTTTTGGGGTACAAATGTTGATATTATTGAAGCAGCCGGATTTTTACTTAGCTGATATCTTGGTACCTTTAGTGCCAGTGGAAAAGCTGAGAGATTGTTTTATCAGCAATATCAGTGTATATCAGAGATGTAAAGATCCAGCTACTTCAAGAATATCAACATTTGTATCCATAGGTTGCATAATTTTACACAAAAGGTACTAGAAGGTTCAAGTCATTTAATAGTAGCCAGCTACTAGTAGCCAGTTACTAGTAGCCAACTTTACTTACTTCTCGTAGCCAGTTACTAGTAGCCAACTTAACCCACTTGTCGTAGCCAGTTATTAGTAGCCAACTTTACATATCTGTATTAGATCTGCTTCCTATTATAACAGTTAATAAAGTACACAGCTTATTGGAAGGCATGGTCTCCACAGACTACATAGATGTTGTCAATGAGACACTCCATCATCCCTTTAATATCTACTTTCATGGACTCGTGCATAGAATCAGAATGATTTGTAACAAAGTACTTTTTTTGATGACCAATCAAAAGAATAAAAAGTTACCGTGTTAAATTTTCACTAAAAGGTAGTTATCTACGAAGTAAAAAAAATATCTAACAACAGTCATGCATAAAAGTCCACGATTAATAAAGGCCTATTTTTGAATTTATCATAAGAAAAAGTTGTATAAAATATAGGAAAAAAAACCCAAATGTTTTGTAGTTATTGACGTTCGAAACAAAAATTATTTTAAGGTAAATTATTACGTTGTCGTCTTATAGAGGAAATAAAAATGTACACGACATGTAAGCAATTCTTTTTAAAAATTACGAAAACCTCTGGAAAATAGAAATGTTATCCTTCTCTTCTCCACCATAATAAGATTTCTTAAACGTTTTACTGTACACTGCTTCTCAAATATGTTGTTATACAGTAATTCTCAAGTTTTTTTTACAGTCGCCAATATTTTCGAGAGGAATAAAAATATGGACTTGATAGATCACTTGCTTAAAATGAATTTGTAGTCAAATATGGTTTAAAATTTCTAATATTTGGTTTTCTCAAATTTCTTGCAGATGATTATTTTTCATGTACCTTTGAACCAGAAGACTTGTGCTTTTTAGTGCAATACAAAAATAAAAGCTTTGACTGGACAGTAGATAAAGTAAGCTTTGCATAATTTTTTTTCTTTTAAAAAATGGATACAAAAATATTCGAATAAAGACCTGGTTTAAATTTATTTAAATTAATGATTAAGCATTGCTTTTTAAATTGAAAATAGATAACAGAAAGAAATGGACCTGAACAGGCATATGAAGGATCTTATTTTGCCTATGTTGATGACACCTCTTACAGTTATGGAAATTCATCACTTCTCGGCTCCAATACACTTTTCCAAGGTAATTAACTTAGTACAGAAAAATATTCATTATTGTGTATTACACATTATAAGCCTTTATCAGCTCGATACCAGCATTTCTATTAATGATTCAACGGTTGTTATTTTCTTGAAATCGTAACCATTCTTATTCAAATAATTGGCATTTCAATATGAGGTACTTAGTTGCCTATTCAACTCATAAATCAAATACAAGTTCGATTCTCACTGTTTTTGAGGAAAATTGTCATGAAACATTGATACCTTGCCTGAGTAATTTATAAGATCTGTGGTTAATCCAAAAATAATTAAGAAACTATTTCAAGCATTTATGGTATCTTTGTTCCAATGTTCAGATATCCCAGAGTGCTTATGTATAAACTCCTCCTAATAGTCTATATGTCTATATGGAATCATCATTAAACTAGAATACCAATACTTTTAAACACATTTTGAGAGAGAAAATTGTATGCCATTTCTTTGGAGAAACGTATTTCTCCATAAAAATTTTGAATTTCTAACGAAATCTCCAAAATTTTCATGAAAAGTATACTTTTGAGCGTCAGTCTAATTCATCATGCAATAGTTTTTTTTTCAAGTGACGTATTAAAGGCCCCGATAAGCAACCACAAAACAAGAAAAATGTTGTTGGGAAGTTAAGATTTTTTTTTACTGTATTCGAAGACATAAACTTTCTGGAGTATTTCTAAACCCAGCAAAATGTTAAGGCCCAAGAATTTTAACAACTTAATCGCTACGTCTGTCCTAAAATGGATGATTGTTATGGACTGCATTACAAAAATCATAAAAGTTAACGTACCCTATTTATTGGGGATAAAAAACAACAGATAGCACAATTAACAAACATTAGCAGGAACATAGATAAAAACTAAACGATACACTGTCGATATACAAGGGTCCTGTAATTATTTTAAATCATTAATAAATGTTTCATCAAATGATATGTTTTAATTTGATTATGAAGACTAGTATACCATTTTGTATGTATACACATGTAGCTAAGAAGTGGTGCCTGCGGTTTCGTTACTTCAGCTACAGCGCAGACTCCACTGCGGCCCTTACTGTGGTGACCTACAATAATGTTACAAAAGAAGTGAAATTTCATGTCACTATTACACGTTCTGATTTTGAGGAATGGAAATACGCAGAACAAAATATTCAGATAGAGAATGGTTTCGTTGTAAGTCTGTTTTCGATAATATTGAAAAATTAAACTTATTCTGGATAATATTTTATAAAGAACTTTATTCGGTAATAACCAATATTTGCCACCAAAATCAAACTTTGATGGAGACATATTTAATTAAGTTCTTAAACAGGGGAGTATATGCTGACTTCAAAGCACTGAATATGTTCATAAGTAATGACGCCATATGTACGTAATGACGTCACAAACATGACTTAAATTTCAGTTTTTTATGAATTTTACAGAAAAATGTACATATTTCGTCGATATTTTGAGTAAAATTCACCGAGGCATGTGTGTTCAGGATCAATATTTTGATATAATATGTAGAATGATAATATCAATGAAATATGTCAATATTGTTCCTGAACAAACTTGCGCTCTATTAAATTTAAAGCTAAAATTGTTGAAATTTTGACCATTTTGTCCTCTTTCTGAAAAAGGATATAAAATCGGACTAGTTTGTGACGTCATAAAAACAAAAATTGTGAATACACTCCTTTGACACTGTTATATTTTCTGTTAAGTTATATTTCTCATACAATTTTTTGAATTCAGCACATTTCAGGAAGTTTTCAAAATTTGATTTTTGTGGGGGCAAATATATGCAATATACCGCATATAGTTCTTTAGAACGTATCTACAAAAATTATTTTAGATGACGACTAGTTTTCATCGAATCTTTAAATTGAGTATTTCTCTTGAAAATGTTGATAATAGAACATTCTCGATATGGATTAAATAATGCAAGAAATCGTTTTTTAAATTGTATTTATAATTTAAATGTTGATAAAGGAAATTTTCAGTAAATGTTTTTTCTCTAAAAAAAAAAAGTAATCTGATGCAGAGACACAAAACTGCAATCATAAGTATTGTAGATCGCACTCTACATAAATATAACCTAAAATTTCTAATTTCAAAATTCTGAAAAAATGTTATGAAAAAATACATTACTGAAATCCATTTATCTACTCTAAGTGAATGCGACATAAGTTTGACACAATTTTATATTATCATATGCGATTTTAATAGAAGATATATTCACTTCTTATATTCTGTCCATTTCAGGTTGGTTTTTTAGCTACAAGAGGAAATCAAAGATCGATTTTTGCTATTGATGATGTAACTATGATTGCAGGTACATGTGGTAAGTAGGACAAAAATATGAAAACATTGCCGAAAAGTTTTATAAGTAAAATAAAAAGTTCGACTTGATTTATGATATCGAGTGCTAATTTTAACAAGAGGTATATTTTATTTATCAGAGGAATCAGTAACAAAGCTGCTTCATATGAAAGGGAAAATGATATGCAACTTTGAAGGAGGAGTAGATACCTGTTTTAATCAAGACACAAAGGATGACTTTAATTGGACCATAACACGGGTAATCAACGTTTTCAAAGCTGCTAGAGAACGTGGATTAATTCAAAATTTTGCATGATTTTTAAAAACCATATTTTTCTAGAAATTAACTGATGCTTAAGATTATCTGTGTTTTTTTATATCTATGTTTAATAAGTTTAGATTATTTGATTTCAATAATAGAATTCATCTATCTTTTTTTTCATCTTCATATTTACACCAACGGTTTGGTTAATCGAACGTTTTCTCCAAAACGCATATTGTATTACACAGGAAGGCAAAACAGACACGTCTGGAACAGGTCCAAGCAGCAATATTGACGGAAACTACTTTAGTTATATTGAAGCCAACGGTCCAAGAAGGAATGAGGTGGCACGCATAGTATCCAAGTTTTATTTGGAAAGTATGTTTTTAGGATATTTTATAAAATATGCTGATTGTTTACATTCTATAATAAGAAAACTTAGAAAATTCAATGTTGTTATAATAATCAGGCAATCATTTTAGATGTAGTATGTCTTTTCAAACTTGTTAGCAAAAAATCAATGTCTTTTTTTTTTTTTTACCGTTTTTAATTTTACGAACACATCTGTCAGTTGAGGAATCGGTCTTAAATAAACAACAATAATCTGTTTAAGTTTGAGAAACCAGGAAAATAAATTATACAAGACGAAAGTGCATGTATACTGAAAAACTTAAGAAATGGGAAAAAAAAACGTTTCCTCTCCGACCATTAAAAAGAAACATATTCCTTTGTACTTTTGAAGCAAATAAACATGAAATTAATATACCAACAGCGATTTCAATGTCTTAAATTCAATTTAACCTTCAGAAGATAAATTTGCACAAAAAATTTCTATTAATCAATCAAAATCATTTATAGCATTACGTGTTCCACCCAAAAAGTAAATGCAAAATTACACGTGTCAACACTTATTGGTAATAACTGTTGATACTTAAGTCTTTAAAGTATTGTTTAGCGTGATTACATAACTTTGTATAAATCAAAAGCAAAGATATTTTTAATAAGTAAATTTTATATTGTATTATTAAGTATGGAAACAAATCCTTCCTTAAAAAATGAGTTAATAATTTATTTGATTGCTCCTTCCCAAATTAAGTATATACTGCTTATTTCCAAGGGCACATCCAATTCGTACAACACTCTCTAGAAAAAGGCTGTTTATAAAAGAGAGTATCATACAAAATTGTTATCGACTGCTATTGATTCCTGGTTTAGTCTATAAAGACGAACAGAATGTTATTCAACACGAACAAAATTGGAACTGTGCAATCAATAATCACCAAATAAAGCATTTACAAAAAAGAGTATTTTAATTATTCTCTACACAACAATGTCTTATTAGACACAAACAAGTCACTTTTGAATATACATATGTAGTGCAAAACAGCAAGGAAACTACTTGACCAGATTTTATTTTTTTTTTAATAGACGTTACAAAAATGCTTTAATAACAAAACTTAATTCAGCAAGAAAAATATATTGATACCGATGTTAATTATCTCTTGCGTTACGTTCGCACTTCACCGCTCATCCATTAATTCACAAACTTACAAACGATGTTACTATACTCCCTCTAACTTCTTTGCGAGGAGATGATTAAAAGTATTTGTCTTTTTTTTTTATCAATTCGTTCCTTTAAACCTCAATTTCAATTGTAAGTGTTAGTGACTGATTTACTTTGTTGAATATGTTGAACATAAATGGAATTTTCTTCTTTCTTTTTGTAGATGTCAATATTGAACTCAGCATGTGGTATCACATGTACGGTCGTTATGTTAAAACACTTAAGGTTTTTCTGAGAAATCAAACCCAGGGGGAACAAACTGTATTTGAAAGATCCGGAAATAGAGGGAATTTCTGGGTCTTAATAAATAGAACATTGACGATTGAAGGAAAGTGGCAGGTAAGAAAAAGAATTTTTTAATTTAATTAACACAAATTAACTATTTTTGAATTTCTGTTAAGAAGTTAAAGGTAAGATTGAAATAAATAGAGGATATTCAATGTTTTGTAGTTGAATATGGAATTTATTTCACGAGTGGAACAGGACTTTTGATATTTTCACGAGTGCGAAGCACGAGTGAAAATATAAAAAAATCCTGTTTCACGAGTGAAATAAATTCCATATTCAACTACAAAACATTGAATTTTCTGTTTATTACATTTTCCCCAACTCTGTTTTGCCCATATTAGCCATCTCCCTGTTCATCTGTCAAAACAATATTACGCGCTAAATATAGTTCCGTAATAACGATTCACAAAATGATGTACACAATAATTTTGAACAAATAAACAACTTTAATATAACATCGTTAAAGTAATTTCATTGATAACTTGTTGAATATACAATAATTTTTCTTTTTTTAATTGATGAAAATATCGCGTAAGAATACTTAGGGACGCATTACTCTCGAAAACAAATCGAAGCGGGGTTTTGAAAGTTAAGATTTTAGTTTTGCATGTTAAGCTGCTCTGGTGAACTGTTCAATGATGTTGGGGCATTTTTAATCGCTGTCACTTTCTAAAGGTAAGATTCTTTTATACTTTCTAGCTGGAGGGTTGTCATTTGCGTCATGGTGGGCTGGGATGCACGATGTGTCAGCCATGTGCTCGCTGTTCCCGTACGATATATTGAATATAACTTGTCCCGAAAAACTGTTTCCATACAGCATGGATCTTACATCCGAATCAATGCGGGACTGGCACGACGATATAGTTTGATTCTGGGTGCTCGATAGGGTCTGGGTAATTGTCTGAGACGCGGAATAATGTTCCTTCATAGGCAAGTTTGTCGGTTTATCAGCAGATGTCAAGATAGAAGAAATATTTCTGTTTTGGTTGTTGTTTATTTTGCTGTAGTTGTTAATGCTGTTGACATTTTTGTGTCCCGATATTTGTGTAATCTGGTTGGCTGGAACTCCGGCATCAGATAGCCTTTGTACAAGATGTTTCCTCATACTAGCAAAATAAAACAAATCTAATTTATTTCTCTTATTTTTAACATGTTAAATTAATTTTCTTCTTTTTTTTTTTTAGATCTTTTAAAAATTCAAAAATACATAAAGCGGACTAATTTAAATTTGACCCGCATTTTTTAAAAAATACCTATGATTAGTAAATCGCTTGTCACTGTCGATCCCAGCAGAGGACTTCATTTCCTTGACCAACCCATACAGTTTATTGATACCCATGGCATTTTTCTTATACCAGTAACTTGTATGATCTCCTTTAATATGAATTATTTTACAATAATGATTTTGTTTTCCTTCATTTAAAATGTTAATTATATTTACAACAAAGTTAATATAAATTTTATATAGTTAATTCCAAAATTTTACCTAAGTCAGCACGAGCATTTACTGCTAAAAAAAACGGTGAGTTCTCCTGTTTGGTTTCTTCAGGCCGCATGTCACTGAATTTTTTGTAAAGAGAAACTGGGTCTTTTTCGGGTTCAGCTGGTGTGGCATAAGCTCGTGGTTTTAATTTCCTTACATCTCTGGGATTAGCGCCTGTTCTTGTTTTTGTTTGTCTCTCCTGATTGAAAACAATATATTCTAAATTTTCCCCCTCATCATATTTCAGTTCAATATCTCCCCAAGTCAAATCATGAACTTCTCTGCCGGGCCTCATTCCAAAATGATTGGTGCAAATTGTAAACATAGAATTTGTAAGAGAGGTAGGTGTGTAGGGACCTAATATCTTCTTTTCATAAAATATTTTAAATTCATTTTCTGTGAGTTCGTCAGCAGCCATGGGTTTATTCCCCTTTCCGAGTGACTTCAGTTGTTTCTGTTTTGTTTTCAACACATCACGTGCCTTGCTGAACTGCAGGTCATTGATGATTGAGTACCCATACTCCTTTTGCTGCAAGTATCTATTGATACTGGACATGTAGGCCCGCAAAGAGGTTGGCTCATATTCTGTGCCATCCTTTTTCTTGACTGAGAGAAGGAATGACGCTATGTGCAAATTTAACTCAAAGGGGGGTATTATTTCAGGGACCCTGAACTCTCCCTTTGCCTGTAAGAATTCTTTGAATGTGTTAATATCACATTTAGTTTTTTTAGAAGTGTTTTTGTTCTCATTAGTTGTCAGAAATTTATCAATATCGTCATAACAGACCTCAGCAAAGCGCTTGTTTTGTGAAACTTGGTCACCTCCTGGAGTGAGCTCAACAGAAAAATCTCCAATTATGTTGTAACTGATTCCTGCTAATGTTTCCTCATCCAAATCTTCAATGAATGCATTCAAGTCATTGTCTGTGTCATTTTCATTCTCTTCCATGCCTTTTATATCCAATGTGGTAAGATTTTTGTCATTTGGATTAGTTTTTGCCATTTTAATATAATAATATTGAAACAGACGATAAAAGAGCTCAGGCAAGGGAGATAATTTGATAGAGAGAGAGAGGGGGGGGAGAGAGAGAGAGAGAGATCAAGGGACATAATTCAATGTTCAAATTAGAAATAATAAAGTAGTTCCTTTTTTTAATTTTTTTTATTATATAAACTAAAGGGTGTTATAATAAATTTGAGGATAAAACTGGGGGAAAAGTAATCAAGGGATATAACTCCTTCATAGAAATGAAAAAAAGTAGTTCCGGTTGATATTCTTTCATACTGTGACAGGATATCATTTTGATATCCTGTCACACTGTGACAGGATATCACTTTTATTCAATGGATAAATTACAGTATTTCACTGTTGAAAATGTAATAAAGTTGTTTCCATTCTTAATATTAAGTTAAAAATATTTTAAATATTCTCATCAGTAATGATGTAGAATAAGCATTTATTGTGGATATGTGAGCACAGTTAATATATATGCAGATTTTATCGACGATTTCTTTTCTTTAAAAATTAAATATATAGAGATAACGAACAGTATTCAAGCTCAAGATTCCACAAATTTGGAGCAGAGCAAACGCTGACCTCGTAACAGAGGTGAGATTAAGTGCTAATGGAGGAGTGAGCATCTTCTGCCGCCCGGTTACATCCGTCCTGTGCACCTTATCATGATCGGGAAATAACGGGAAAAGCCGTTGACAATTTATTGTGTAAATAATGGTCTAACAATAAGTATGTGAAACGTCAGTCGGCCTTTCACTTACAGATACATTGTATTTTCTGACAAGGTCATTGTATCGCCCAAATAGAACTTTACAAAATGATGACTTCAAACGAGACTGCTGACAGTCTTGTTTCATCAACTTGCCCGTCAATAACCTATCTCGTTTTAGAAACTGTTTATAGGTAAAGCTTGCATATCAAGAATCAACTGAGAGATATAAACCTGGTATGCAATTGATGAAAGTATATTTCTGCATGAGTAAGGGAAGTTGACGATTGTAAAGTTAAAAGCTATCACGTTTATCATAAAGCTTGTATTACCATTAGCAACTTTTTAAAGTAAAATATCCAAATATGAAACATATGTATCAAACTCTGTGGTATCTTTTTCAAGTTCACCGTGATATATCGTATCAACATAATAATGAAAATAACCATTGTTAGGTGACAATATCGAAATGTCTAGTTGAAAACCACGGCAAGTGTTTTTTTCCCCTTGCACGTAGATTTTGGACGAATTCTGCCTGCTGCATATGTATATAAAGATAGGTCTGCTAATATTTGAAATAAGGGATTCTTGTTTAAATGATTTTGTTACGGACATACATTTTCTGGGACCATTTTTAAAATATTTGAAATAGTAATCCTTTAGGAATTTCAGTTTTTATTATAAAAAAAATTCTACATGTATATGACGTTAAAGGACCCCATTGCAAATAAAAGGACCCCAGTGGGGTCATACTGGCTTTCATGGGCTATCCTTGGGTTTAGGTATATTTAATATATATTTTTTTAAATTATATAAAAAAAAGATTTATTAGTCAATTTTGTTTTATAAATTATCTCTTAAATTATGTATATTTATAATTTTTAATGTTCATGTACATTGCAATGCCTTTACCTGAATAAGTAATCTTAATTACTTGAAAGATATGTCTTGTATATAAAAAAAGACTTAAACTGAGTTTGTAATATATACTTGGCTGCCATGGCATGTTATATCCCGTACATATTTTGAGTTGAAATTAGGACGATACCTTTCGTTACTACTGGAATACAGGTAGATATTCAAAGAAAATCAACAGATCAATAAGGGTATAGAATACGATTTTCACCGTTTGTATTCACGTGATGAGAACCGAAATGTTAATAATTAAAAATATGTTTTGTTAAATTCTTTAAATCTATATTAAGATTTTAATTATCTTTTCTATGCTAAAAATGATGACTGTTTGTAAATTAATTTCCTCCCCTATATATTTTAGCTTTGCATAGAAGCAAATGTACCAACGAGTAATACAGCAGATATAGCTATAGATGATATCAGAATAAAAATTATTCAGAATGGTACGTCACCTAAACAGCTAAAAAAGTCATTATATAATGAATTACAATGTGTTGATTTCAATATTAAAAATTCTACTTTTTCATCAAATTTACCTTTTTCAAAATTATTTTTTGATTTGTTTTCTTATTATGAAATCAATTACACCAAATTTATGAGCAGGTTTCAATAAAACGTGGATGAACTTTAATGAAAGATGCATAAGAAATCTGGGATCTTACTCTCGAAGTAACATTTTGACAAATGCTGCCTGCATTTCAAATGACCATGAGCGATGGACCGGTATCGTTAGGACACAGAGAAAAGGTTCAGATCAGAAAGGTATTACGTCATAGGATAAAGGCCATCCTATTTACACGAAGAGGAAAAAACCAAAATTTGGTTTTCCACGATATTTTAGTTTTACCCAAATGATTCAAAAGAAAGAAAGCACGAATGAATCACCTACTTCTATGTTATTCATTCCGAAATATAGAAATAAAACAAATCTGATCAAAAATATCTATTCACTCATGTCTGAATTACGTCATTTTAAATCTCTATATTTTTAAATTCCTAAAAAATCTTAAATAAGTTGTATTTGTACCACAGGTATTTTTTTATCTTATTAAATTCCAATTCACAAGCAATAAACAATTTTTTTTTTTAATTTTTAGTTTTGAAGGGGAGTCCAAATGCTGTAAGGACTTTTGAACACAGATTCGGCATGTACTCTTACGTCTGGGAAACTTTTAGCGAAAATGCAACTAGAACATTTGTGTGTGAAAAACGTAAGTATATCATAAATCCTTTAAACTTGAACATATTAAACCATAGGTGCGTTCATTAAGTGTATTCTTATGCATGTACATTCGCAAGAACTCTATATAATTTCGTTTTGTCTTTATTTAATAATTTCGTTTTTCTTTATATATTTTTGGTTTGCACTATTGGGCTTCCGTAAAATCGAACCATTCATTAAATTCAATCACAAGTTCATATTTAAGGGATATATTTTCGCAAACGAGTCATAATATAAGCTTGGCTTGAATTGTCAATTCTTTTTTTATTTCTTCAAAGCCACATCAATTTTAATTTAACGAGGCTCGGGGGTGGCAGCCATTTTTAGACTATTTTAATCTCCTTTAAAAGGAGAGCTCCATATAAAGATATAGAAATTGATCAAATTTTAAAACTAAAATCTTTGAATTTTTTCTTTGTCAAATGATAGTTCACAGCTAAAGATACCGTATCTAAAAAAAAATAAGTTAAATCTGGTGGTTAATTTGGGATTAATTTGTTGACCCTCCAGCCTCCTTAATGCTAAATCAGTTTGAATTGTATTTGATTATTTTGTTGTTATTCGATTAATTAAAAGCAATTAAAAGTGTGGCGAATCCATTTTATCATTTAAAATAGGTCTAAACGCATCCGAGGACTTTGACCAGTGCCTTGCATTCTCGGAAGTTAGTGAAGATTTTTCTAATCTCAACAGGAACGAAAATAAGAATAATGGTGAGATCAATTCATTTCCTTTTCCAAGTGTTATTACAAGGCTTGAACAAAATGTTGTTGCATGTGGTTGTAATGAATGAATGACGTAATTAATCTTATGCTTCTTTAAAAAAATTATAGTCTTTTATTTTATTGATCAATGTAAACTTACTTTGGATATAACAGCAGATTTTTTTTTACTTAGATTGATCTTACAACATGAAGAAAAGTCATTAAAACTATATAAGAAAAAACACAGTGTGCGAAATAAATATTAAATATAAACGTTAGAGCTTAACGACTTCTAATTATGGATATAAAATATAATATAAAGTCACTATACTATGAGAGCTTCCCTAACATGAATGAAGGGAAATTTTATGTGATCAAGCACTGTTCTTTTTTATTTTTGTAGATGCGCTTGCCCTTATTCTGGTAGTTGTTATTTCGTTTGCCTTCGTTGTCTCAATTTGCATATTGGTCATAATTATTTTATGCAAACGGTAAGAATTATTTTGATAAAAGAATACATAATTTATGTTTAAGATATGCAATCACAGTGAGAGAATACTTAACCTGATTTCAATGTGAAGTACAAATATTTATTAAATATAAACACCTCAGTTTATAAAAGATGATGCAACACGACATATTTATGTCACGTACCAGAAAGACAAAAAGCAAGCATTCTCATTCTTAAGCTCGGGGTTTGTTAATGTGGAATGATTTGATGTTTGATTCAAATTTTGTCATATAAAATCGTGTTCATTACAGTGTTTTAAACAACTTGTCTACGGTTGTTCACTGAAAATAGATTATTCAAGGACTAAAAAAATAATGTTTATGAAGTTCATAGAGACAGGACAACGATGAGTGTGAAGAATACAAAAATGCTATACAAATGCACAATTAGAAATATTCATTGGTACGCTTGTGGTGTTTTCCTTTGGACAGTACTTTCCAAAGAAAGCAGAAGAAAAACGTGAACATTTACAACTTAATACATTTATTTCGATATACATGCATTTATTTATGAAATATGTTCCTACCTTCTGTTTTGTTTTTAAAGAGATTCTACTATTCAGAGAGTGGATGTAGTTCCAGAATGAATTTATTCATCATGTATCATCATGTATGGGGGAATACACAGAAATCTACAATGAATGATAGATTTTTTAGTAGATCAAAGTTTTTTAATGTATTAGACCAGGATAATGTTTTTGCATATTTCATCCACTTGAAATAATTGGTAAATGCGCTTTCTTTTTTTTTTTGCATTTCTACATTTTATATTAAACAAAAAGAACAAGCTTCATTAATTGTATTCTTTGTATTTTTTGACAGGAAATTGGCAATGAAAGCAAAATATGAAAAACAGCACAATTCCTCAACAAAAGAACAAGTAAACTTTATGTATATGAACTCCGACGATATCCTTATAATACAAAACAAAACTTCAAGTATGAATTCCATAGCTCTTCACAAACAACAAATCCCCAGTGAAAGTGGAAAAACAGGAGGAGTAGACTCGAACGAAATATATGTTAACCAGGAACCTTTTCGTCCACGGGCAAAGTCAACTAAAAATATTAACGATAAAGATGAAATACCGGAAGAGGACTACGATCATCTGAACAGGAATAACAATGTTGTAACGACAGTACAGGAAGACACTTACAGTCACATGACTGACGGTCAATACGGTACACAACAAATTCAGTGTGAAGATACATACGACCATACAGGGGGAACCGAGGGCGAGTACGGAGCAGCACAGATTGATCAGGATGTAAACAATATGTATGATCATACAGTACTCAATGATACAGATGACGTTTACAGTCTTCCAAATAAAGGCTCATGTCAGACTGAAACGGTGTATAATATCGTAGTAAAAAAGACATGTGGTACAGATTAAGTACCGGTATTCAAAAATTACATTTAATATGTGTGATTTTTTTAAAAAGCAGTAATCTGAACTATGCCAATTGTATTCCAGACATTATGTGATGTAAAATACAAATGTATTGAAATCTCTAATATTCCTTCTCTCTATTTTTTTTTATTTTAAAAGATGTTCTCTTTGTCCCCATTTCATCTCATTTATTAAAGTTCAGCTTATCTGGCGAGCTTTCAGGCAGAGTTTAGTTCGTGCACCTTACATGTATGTATGTCTGTTGTGTGTTGTCTGTAAGTTTTGTTTTACTTTTGTAATATTTCATGACACACGCAGCGAAATCAAACAATCTTGATGTGATGCATTCTAAAATTAAGGGAATCAATTTTACAGAAGGGAGCATAGAGGTCAGTTAATAACACATGAAAAGAGAGTGAATAAACTCTGGAAAAAATGACAAAAAAGGATGACCTATGCCATAGTGAAATGTGTTTATCTTCTACCTGATGAACCCCGGGGATCCGGGTTAGAATAGGTCCTCAGTACCCCCTTGCTTGTCGTAAAAGGCGACTAAATGGGGCGGTCCTTCGGATGAGACCGCATAAACCGAGGCCCCGTTTCACAGCAGGTGTGGCACGATAAAGATCCCTCCATGCTCAAAGGCCGTAAATGCCGAGCATAGGCCTAAATTTGCAGCCCTTCACCGGCAATGGTGACGTCTCCATATCAGTGAAATATTCTGGAGAGGGACGTTAAACAGTATACAATCAATCAATCTACCTGATGAAGAAGAGGATATTTACGACTGCTGACGCGAATATTACATCGTCAGATTGATATAATGATGCATTTATATACACCCCGCTTGAAAAGTGGGAGGGTATATAGTGATAGGAATTTCTGTCCGTTTGTCTGTACGTTCGTCTGTTACGCTTTGGGGTACTCATCTCTTATCCGGAACTTCTCTTATATCGCTCATTGAAATTAGATGGAACTTTTACAGAATCTTTCTTACATAGTGCCATTGTGCACCTCCTATTTTACGTTTTGAGCGGGCACATATTTTAGGTTTCCCAGAGCAAAGCATGGGCATGGCTATTTTTTTTCTATAATAATGAAGGGTATCCATCTCTTATCTGCAACTCCTCATATACCATTAAATAAAATTTAATGACACTTTCACAGATTCTTGATTACATAATGACATTGTACACCTACTATGTCAATTTTGGATCTGACAGTTATTTTGGGTCTCCCAGTGCAAAACATGGACTTTGCCATGATAGCCATGCCATGCTATGATGGGAGGCGGGGATATCATTTAGTGAGCTCATTACTCAAAGTACCTCTTGTTTTTTAATTTAAAACAAGTATTGTCATATTTGTTAAGTTCCTAAAAATTTGATTTTTTAAGTAATATAATATTTTGTTTTCTTTAAAACTTTTCATTCTGATTAATAGAAATGAAAAAAAATTAATCAGGATTTATTAAAAAAAAAAACTTAAACATGAGATGACGGACAAAACACTAGTCTTGCTATGGTTTTCAAATCGACATTAATTTAGATACATGTTTATCGAAGATGCAATCTGAAGTCCATTTATATTTTGACTTAATCACAGTGAACCTAATATTCAAGATATCACAGAGTCTGATAATCTTTTTCCGATATGTTAGTTTTACCGTTTAATTTCATATTTGAACAATTCATTAGAAACTGACGTTAATTATGTTCTATTCTACCACGATTATTGCCGAGATCAAAGAAATACCGCAGACATTATTCTCCAATAAATCACGAACGTCATCAAAAAATTATCAGATCAAAAACAAAAATCAAACCTGAACAATTCAAATGCATGTTTGGCTGTAGAATGAAATATAGTGTACTTGTTTAAACCACATCAATATGTCGTCTTTTGCAGTATATTAAACACTGTAAATTGCATAAAGTTGCTGATGAATGTATGTTTTTATAGCTAAGCGGGGCTATTCCAAGGACATCCCTACACATTTAAACAACGTGATTTTAGTCCCAATAGAGCAGTAAAACAGGAACATGATTTTGTTATTGTATATTCATTAAAACTAATCAATACATATTACGAACAAATTTGTAACTTAAAAAGGCTATTTTTAATACAACGAAAGCTCAAATCGTCTGCATTCCATTTACAGGTAAGCAAACAAATTTTCCCTCTGGTGTTAAATGGAATAGCGTAATCGAGGAACAATGACCTAATTCGTTTCTCTATAGAGGAAACAATCAGCTGTATTTTAGCGATTTTAGTACACATGGTAGAATAGAAACAAAGTCCTTGTTGTCGTGAATGATGCAGGATAACCTCCTCGGTCTCGAAATGTTGTTTGAAATATAAAAGTCTCGGCTAACAACCCGGCTTTTATCTTTCAAACAACATTTTTCGACCTCGGAGGTTATCCTGCAACATTCACGAAAACGCGGACTTTATTTCTTAAACAACAGAACTGTAATAATTGTAGTAACTTCTGTACCGTCAATTTCCCTTAGTTTTACATGTGTAGCAATACGCCCTTATCACTTTTAGGACGAGTTTTATGTCTCCCAGTTTATTAAAAAAAACGCAAGAGCATCCGCTACACATGAAAAATTTCTAAAACAATATAAGATATTGATACGAAATTTGATGAAACAATGATATCACAATCTCATTTGAAATCAACATTTTACAAGTTCTTTGCATATGTTTGATTTAATTACCTTATCAGCAATTACAATCTATCATTAAGTAGGGTGCTGACTGACGTTTTTCATACATATTGTTAGATCAATTTTACGTACTGAATTCTCTACGCATTTTCCCGTTTTCCCAAGGAACACATACCTGGAGAGACCGGTTTAAAGGTGATGCTTATTCTTCTATGTCATATGATAACCACATGTTTCCAGCGCCCAATTTGAATATATTTTATGACTTTAAAGCTTGAGTTCTGTTCTTTATCTCCATATTTCTCCTTAACCATATAAGAATATGCATGTGTACTTTTTGTGATAACGAAATTTTACCGTAAATTATTTTGAGCTAGATACTCGTGGATAAACATGCAGTGCACAGTGTATGTTAATTGTTAAATCGTGCATACTTCAATTGCTTTGGATTTCAAGTTACAATTTTTTTGTCTTCATTTTTTTGCATGAGTCTAACTCTCAGGTTAGAATAACTTCAAAGTTGGCTTCTACAAACAAAAATTTGCGTCTAATGGAATCTTTAGGTCAACATCTAGTAAATGAAAGATGCCTACAGATTTATCAACTGTGAGAAATAAATTGCTTTATCTTTAGCTTGGTCAAATAAGATGAAAAATCGTATGTTAAACTGTCATTTCCAATGAAAAATTAAGAAAAGCACTGTCATTATATGGTTTTTTCCATATCAGACAAAGAAATTGTATCCAGATTGTCTACAGTCTTTCAGAAAACGGTTATTTGTATGTTTATGGGGTCTTCTTTAAAATAAAGTCAAATTCAATATAGGAATCATGACTACTTTTCGTGTAATTTTAGATTGAATTCAATGAAAATACTTTATTTTCTACATAATTCTATCAGAGCCGTAAAGTACAGGAAAAAGAAAGTTGAAAGCGATTATCACAGCACAATGGATCTAGCACTTAGAAGTTAGTCTAAAAACATTTACTAGATCTTGACCTTAATATGTGTTTCAATGTGAACGATTCTGTCATAAAGGCTTCTTGAATATGAAAATTTAATAACGTATTTAGCAATATATCAAAACAGGATCCGGGAAAAAAAAATCGCGCTATAACGGAAGGATATTCTTAAAACTTCAAGGTCTATCTTTATACAATGATTACAACCCCAGTTATGTACTTTTAAACAAAACTTCCTTGTCAAAGTGGGAATAATACACTACAATTCTGTCTTTTAACCATGTGTTCTCTTCGCGTGGAGAAGATGAAATAAGAATAAGAAGAATTAGGATTTAATGAGGAAAAGTTCACAAAAGGAAAACTTACAGGATAACCGACTCGTTGTGAGGAGGTGCTAAATCTGTACTTGTCTTGAGAAGAGTCATTCGTGCTTACAACAAAATCTTATGACTCTGTACTTCAACCTAAAAAGATATTCATCGAAACATGTTTTGTGCACTGTTGATAATATTCCTTTTTGAAGAAATCATAAGTTCGGAAGGTACGTTATTTACCTATCCCCGGTTTCTTGTGTGCATACGAAGATGAATAAGAATGCATTAATAGTATACATGTAGTTTAAATATGAAGAAGGTACAGTTTGAGCTTTATTATGCCATAAATATTTAACGTTCTTGAAAAGTTATGAAATTGGCTTGAACAATAGTTGAGTAGATGAATATGATAAATCTTTAAAGAATATGGCATTAAGGAGGACTTTTCTGGAAATATGATGTCATTAATTTGGTAAATTTCTAAGTTTAATGCAAAAAAAAGCCTCAAAATGAGTCCTTTCCGTGCTAATTTTCCTTTAGAAAATAGTGTCTGCCACCGTCGCCCACTTTAATTTTTGGATATATTATGTAAAATACTATGAAAAATCACATATCTCAAAATCTTTCTAGGCGACGGTGGCAGAGTATGTTTTCAGAATGAAAATTCCACTGAAAATTGATGTCTTCTGCAACTTTTTAAGAAAATACTGGAAAGTGCACAAGTTAATGACGGCACAATTAGCATTTAGGATGTCATATGAGAAAAACAATTTATGTATTCTTACTGCACGGAATTCCTATGATTCAGAAAGAATGAATTTTGATTTCTTATTTCAGTTTCATATTTTAGAAAAATATAGGGCTTAATTTGTATTGAAACTGTACCCTGTTCTTTCCATTGATATTAATAGTGTTTGTGAAACACTGATACCGCCGTATGGCAACAAAGCGAAGGTTAAATTTTCTCAAATGCAAATGACATTGATACAAAATGTGGGAACTTCTCACTAGAAATACAAATGTGAAATATAAAACCCTAGTATCACCTGCTCAAAAGTTACGGCTGAGGTTGACTTTTTGAAAGGTATGTCAAACTCTGGGGTCAAGGTCAAAGGATCAAGGTTGTTGGTTTATAAAGAAAGGCCTTGTCACAAAGATCACATATTGGAAGTATGACAACACTAGACCTACCGGTTCAAAACTTACTGCCAAAATTTAATCTTTTTTGAAAGTAGGTCAAACTCGAGGTCAAGGTCAAAGGGTCAACGTTGTTGGCATCCTATGAAAGGACTTGTCACAAGGATAACATATGTGAAGTTTGAAAGCCCTAGTCCTTACCGTTCAAAATTTATAGCCAAGGTTAATGTACTTTGAAGATATATCAAACTCAGGGGTCAAGGTCAAAGGTCAAAGTTGCTGGTTTCTACAGAAAGGCCTTGTCACAAAGATTACATATAAGAAGTATGAAAGCCCAAGCCCTAACCGTTGAAAAGTTATTGCCAAGGTTAATTTTTTAAAAGTAAATCAAACTCCAAGGACAAGAACGAAGTGTCAGTTGTCGAGTAGTTGTTGATGTCCAATGAAAGGTCTTGTCACAAGGATTACTTATGTGAAGTATTAAAGCCCTAGCCCTTACCGTTCAAAAGTAAATGCCAAAGATAAAGTTTTATAAAAAGTAGGTCAATCTTCAAGGTCAAGGTTGAAAAGTCAAAGTCGTTGGTATCCAATGAAAGGTCACAAAGAATATATATATATATATATATATACAATGTATGTATGAAAGTCTTATCACCAACTGTTCATAAGTTATGGCCAAAGTAAAAGTTTAGTATTTTTGGGTAAAAGTGTGTCAAACTCAAAGGTCAAGGTCAGGAGGTCAAGTTTGGTTGTACAGATAGAAAGGACTTGTTACAAGAAATACAACCGTGAAATATAAAATCCATAGTACAACTCAGTTAAAAGTTATGGCCAAGGTTGAAGTTTTTGCGGACAAGCAGACAGACAGACAGACAGACGGACGAACAGGGCAAAAACTATATACTTTTATGGGGGCATAAACAGTTCCTTTGATGGAGGAAAATCAAATATCATAATAACAGATTTGAACAATCAAAACTTGAAAACACCTTTTTTTTTCTAAATAAACAAAACAAGTCAGAAACGACAAATTTTTTCATTATGTTGTTTGTCAGTCAAATAAAATGATTATCAAAGCACCAATAGATTTTATATTTTCGTATAGAAAAATAAAAAAATATACACTCTTAAAGTTAACTATAGGGGTCATAAGAAAATTAATGGGTCTTCATTGTTGGTATACAGAAAGTAAAAGTCAGGGAGAAAATTATTTACAGGTTATTTTTTTGTAACTAGGTAGAAGATCTTTCCTTGTTTCCTCTCACAAAGTAATGTTTAATTCCTGAAAACCTTATCTTTATGTAACAAATGATACAAAGTTCCATTTTCCAATAATATGTGAAAACTGTTTAATTTCTCAATAGAAAAAACCCTGTTATTATAAAATTATTATATTTACATTTCTTAATGTCTTTGTCTGATAAAACTACAAAAAAAACAATAGCTTTATAACCTCATAAAGTGATTTGCTCAGCACGACACAAAACTGCATGCTTTCTTGCTACATGCGTTGCTTAATAATACACCATGCTGATATTTCTCATCATTTTATAAAGCTTCATTCATTGATTCAAAGGTCACATAAAACTTAAAATATAAGGAAAACTCTCTTGATTTTTTGTTTTATGATGATCAATCAATTGCTCGCACCATAAAGACAAACAACAGACAGTTAATTTTTCCTTTTATAAATATACTTCAAAACATATTTGTCCCTTTCTTTAAATTCGTTATACTCTGACTAAACAGAAGACACCGCTAAGTCATAGTGTAAAAAAGTGTGAAATGAAGTTACAATGACAATAAAAATGTATACGTTCATTCAATGTATACATCTCAAAATATTATAACCTAAATAAGATTATTGAAGTTTCAGAAATAGAATACGTATATGTTGACAAGAATATGAGCTGGATTGAAGCTAGAAACTTCTGCAAAGAGGAGTTTGGAGCACGTTTGTCGACATTAGATCAAACGAATGTTGGAGCCTTTCAGCAATCATGTTTAAGTGGTGATTTTCAAGATATGTGGACGAATACCTTCATTTCCTCTACACCATATTTGACTGTTGTTGGTATGATATTTTTTTTATAATTCAAAAAGGTTTATATTTTAACTTAAATTATAAAATTATTGTTTCTTTATTTTCATTTGTATATTTGTATTTCCCTATAAAGATTAGAAGGTCTGAGTTTCAGGTTTAAGCATAAGCAATAAGAATGTAAGGCTAAGTCTTTGTATGCAAAACACATTAAGGGCTCGCTTGCCTGGTTCCATTTAGTTATTAGTGTGTGAAATTATATTTCATATTATGGTGTTCAAAAGACACAAATGATACAGTGATATGATTCATCATGATTGCTACATTTTTATTCACTTATTTTCGACGAAAGAGCTAAAAGATTTTGAGGGTTCCATCTTTCAATAAGCAAAGGAATATGTGATAAATTTGGATTTACCTCCACCCAGCAAATTCAGATTTACGACTTGATGGTACTGCAAATTTTTCTTTAGATATCTAGAACATAAAAAATAATGTTTAATTAGATGTTATGTCAAGACATTTAAGAAAAAGGACATTGATTTTTCTTAGATATACCTAAGTGCATTCTACATTATTTTAAGGGCATTGCCAGAAGAGAAAAGAATATAAAATATGAGACTTTATTTAATTTAAACATTTATCGTTTTAATTATGTTTTGAACTGTCATTCAAATTTGCTCTATTGTTAGGATGCTTTTACATACCAGACAACAAGACTTTCCATAATTTAAGTAGTCTTTCCATATACGAGTGCCAATTTCTGTGCAGTAATTATTCTAGATTTGCAATAAAGGTAAGCATGAGGAAAACACACATAGATATAGATAAAAAGCAATCAGTTCAGTGTAAATCACTAAGTATTCCAAAGAACATTTATTTCTGTGAATCTTCTCTCTAATGAAATTGGTGGATAAAAGTTTTGAAATGATGAACTGGTTAAAAAATCATTTCTATATACAACTTCAGTTAAACAAATGCCTATGCTTAGAAAGAAATGAAATATTTGGAAAACAGAAACGTGCAAGTATGTGTAATATATTCTGTGATGAAGAAACATTTTGTGGAGGCATTGATAACTGGAACATATACGATGTCGGTTTGTATTTTATATAAACAGTTGGATGTTTTCTTATAAATATATTGTGCAACGCTATCACAATCCTTCCAAGACTGTATACTGAAAATGTAAATACTCTTCAACTTCTGTAAATTACAAATATGTGTTTTGAGGTTCTGATTTCTTTTATTATTTGTTTCTGTATAACTGATTAAAAAGAATTAGTTTTAATGTCTATGAAATATACATTGTGATAAATGCCAAACTTTTAAAAGCAGAGGCCTGTTCAACAGAGCGAGCGCTTGCAAACATTTCTGTTGGAGGTATAAGGCATTTTACCGAGCGCTTGCGAACGTTCGCTCTGTTGAACAGGCTTCAGGACTCTCTAAATTAAGTTATGATTCAATTTCTTGCTTTTACTGTCTCCCTTCCTCCAGTCACACTTACTCCTTTGTAACAATTTAAGCAGTAACCATTTCTTCTTTTGAATATGATAAGTTGTATTCCGCAGGTGTGTAATACGGTTTTAGAATTTTCATTTTAAAAATGTTCATGGGATAAACTAATTCAATGAAAAAATGCAAATTTATTTCCATACACTGTGTTTCTTTCTATTAAGAAGTTCGTCTTTCAAACGAAAATTTGTGTCTCTATAGCATATCTTATAATAGAAAATAATATCAATTTATGTTTATGTAGAATTTATTCAATTTTTTACTTGATTAAAGCTTCATGTTTTCCCTTTTGAGGGTAAAAATCAACCTATCTCATGAGCAAGTATTTGTTAAACTTACTAGAAAATATTAAAACTAACTTAAGTTTTTTGGAAATAAAAGACATATTGATTAATAAACTTGATGTTTCCAGCTTTTAAATTTGCATTGCAGCGGAGGACGAACCAGTTCAAATAAATGAGCCATTAAAATCACAGAAAATGTCTTGCCTAACCCATCAGTGTGTAAACAATCGTAACCTATTCAGGGAAAGGAATTGCTTCAACGCCAACGTCTCTGAAGTTTCATGCGGTAGGATAAATCATGTTTTTATAAGCAACACACAGGAACGATTATATAATTATACAATAAGACATATAGGTATAATGTTTCTTTTAGTTGGTTTCTCCTCTTGTACGTTTGAGCCTGGGGAACCTTGTTTTCTGATTCAGGACAAAGGAAACACTGTTGACTGGATTGTGAAAACAGTTTAGTATATTTACTGAGTGTTTATTAAAAGCAATTCAGGGATATCAAAAGCCTGCATGTCAATTTTTGGAAGGTACTGTAAATGTATTACTTTTGGCCAAATTAATTTTTTAGCAAGTTAGCATAAATTTGACTAAGCACTATCTGATAATGCTAGATTTAAACGTGTAAAATACAAGATACTTAGCGATCTTCTTCCGCCAAAATCGCCTATTTAGAAAAACCGCCAAATGTAGTACGTTTAAAGTTTATTCAGAACATTCATTGTGTATTCTCCATTGTTTAGAATGCTTGGGTGTAATTATTGATGTTTTCATTGTATAAAGAGACTAACGAATTGTCCACAAAATTAAAAACATATAATTATTAATCTTAAAATATATCGACCTCATATTTTTTCTTTAAAGCACAAAAATGTGACCCCTCGAAAGTAAATGATTTGACAGTATGTGACTTGTATGCTGCTCACATGCCTTACTTAAAACGGTTGATATTGTCTATACAAATTAATTAAACTTAACCTTTTTTTATCAGAGTATCAAAAATAGTCGCCCAGATAAAGCCTATGATGGAGCATATTTTGCATACATAGAAGACAGTGGTTTTACCTTAAATCAAGAGACCCGTCTCATTTCTTCCATTTTTACTTCAGGTATGGAATTAATTGATCTCTCATTTGGAATAGAAATGTATAATATCTGGAACACTATAGGATATTTTTGAATTTCTTTTAGATTATAATTGGTGTTTACGTTTCCGATACTTCATCATAAGTGATAATTCCATAGCAGTTGCATTAAAAGTTGTTATCCGCAAGATTGCCAAAATGTCTCTCAGCGATCAGTTTACATTAGCTCAAACAGAAGAAGAATGGAGATATCATGAATTTGACATAAGAATGGATGAAGACTTTACAGTATGTACTCTACTACATTTTAAAGTATGTTAATTCAATGTAATATGAATAAAACTATACAGAATTTTTTCCACAAATCAGATAAGTACATACTATGAAGTGTCAAGCAAAAGGTCTAACTTCAAATGCAAGATTTATTGAAAACATCTTTTCGCAGCAAAATTGGTGCTTTTGTTTAATTCTTTGCATAATTTTTAAGAAAAACAATTCGTGTAATTACATTTTGCAGTGGTTAGAACAATAGTCTTGTTTTATTCTAAATTCGTTGAGTATGGGCGTTTTATCTCTACGCCGTAGGTTCTATACTTCTTCTCCGGGAAGTGGATACCTACCCTTTAGTTAATTGAGACAATTTTGACCTAGTTCCTAAGTCATAGTAGACATTGACCACTCCTGAGTCCAAACAATAGTAAAATATTCCCTTAAGCACGGCAATAAAGAACGATCAAACCAACACAACAAGCAATGAAGATACTTTTTCGTAAACATCGTGAGCATCGGACAATCGAGTTTTTATGCCATTTTAGAGTTTTTTTTTCTCGGTCTTTTGAAATTTTTCCATTGTAAAAATTTTTATTACAAACAGATTTTCTTTGAGACCCAAAAAAAAGAGATGAAAAAGAATTCCACTATAGCTATAGATGATGTGACGATGATACAGGGGAATTGCAGTAAGATGCTTTTTTTTAAATTTCTGCAGGATTGTGTACTCAGGATGTCTAACACATAATTCTAAATCTTTGCCCTAGTTTGTGTATTAAGTTTTGGAAGATAAATTAATTATTTTGATTTCGGTCAACTATTTTACGTCGGCTATCTACTCTCCATCATTTTCTCCTCTTTCTCCATCTCTCTTTTTATTGTATAATGTGTACATTTTTTTTTACAGATGGACTACTCACTAAACTGCTATACATGAAAGGGAATATGCAATGTACTTTTGAAGGAAATAGAGATACCTGTTTTGTTCAGGATGAATCTAATGACTTTGACTGGAAAATTCAAGTATATGCTCCAAAATATATTTTGAAAAGATCGACTTTATGTAAAAAATATCGTACAAAGTGGTTATTATTACCATTATTTATTAATTTATGTAAATATCATAAATTGACGTGATCTTATTTCAGTTAAGGAATTTTTATTTCAGTGGTTGATCTGGGAGAAAAAACAATAAAAAACTTTTAAGAGGGCCTTAAACACAGAAAAACTAAAAAATGTTAAATTTTTGGCCTAAGTTAATTCCTTACACAGCTCTACCCGATTTTCTGTTACAACATAACCGTACACCTAAAATTGACTGGTGAATAATTCTTTATTTCAATGGTCTTGCGTCTTCACAAAAGACCTTATTATGATTCTACTGTTTCTTATTACCCAAGAAATTTGTGAAAGATTTTCTTTCAAAAAAAATTTTTGTTTTTAGATGAAAATTTTAGGAATTATGTGTTATCAATTTCATATGAACTGGAAACCTGTAAATGATGAACATGACCTTATAATATGCAGAATTACCATGACCTTTTCCTGCGTCTTCAATACTGTTAATCAATTTTTCTTCAAGAGAACTTTATTTTCGCGTAATTACGCGAGTCTTTCTGCTAATAATTTTTCCCATATATTTTTTTTTTATATTACTCTTCTATACAACAGAAACCACAGCTCGCGAAAATTGTGTCTCGGTAATAAATACCAAATTGTGAAGTTGCGAAAATAAGGTGTCGCAAAATAATAATAAATTAAAAGTGATCTACAGTACTTCCAATCGCTACCAGGGGCGGATGTTAAAAAGTATAATTTTTCTACTTTCTTGCTTTGAAAAATTACAAAAAACTAGAGTTTTAATTTATTAATTAAACAAAATTATACATTTTCGAAGACCTCTTATTAGTCGCAATGAGATTACATCTAGTTTATTATTATTTTAACATGAACAAATTAAGTTTAATTTTGAGCAGGCAGGAAAAAAAAGGTCAGGAAATACTGGACCTGTAAGAAGCACTGAGGGGAAGTACTATATGTATATAAAAGCATCGGATAAAGAAACTGGAAAGAGAGCTGTGTTAATTTCAAAGTTTGAACTAAATGGTATGTGATGTGACAAATTGCACTTTTTTAATAAGACAGATTATAAAATGTTTTGTCCAATTTATGGAATATTAGTATTCTTTCCTAATGTGACTTTTGTAAATGACCTAGTTCATGGTCTTTCGTGAGGGGGTTATGATGTTTTAGTGACTACGATATATTGTTTATGTTGTACAGTGACCAAGTTATGTTCCCCTGTGACTGCGTTAATTAAGTTGCTTAGTTAATAGGTTTAGAGACTTGGTCATGTTTTACAGTGTTTGCGCTGTAATGTTTGGTGACTGGTTTATTCTCTCTTAATTAAGATGATTTTTTGTAGACTGAAATTTGTTTCTTAATGATAGGTTACATGTATGTTGTTTTACTATTTTACTATGGCTGGATTAAGATGAACAGTGAAAATATATTTAGGGGCTGGTTTATTATTTTTTTACGAACTGAATCATGTTTTTCAGTGATTGGGTTATGATTTTCACTGACAGGGTTATTTAGTTCAATTTTTATTATACTTGCTTCGTTATCTGTTTTAGATTATTTTAATGGGGTCCTATATTACTTCTTAATGAATTCATATGTTTCCATTGATCAATACATATTTCTCAGTGACTAGATTATGTTTCACAGTGGTTAGATAAAATTACGAGATTATTTCCCCTTCACATTCTACCTTCCGTTATTTCCTGACCGGTCAGCAGGGGATGCTTACTCCTCCATGGCACCTGATCCCACCTCTGATGTTTCGGAAGTCCATGTTTGCTCTGCTCTTATTTTGTATTGTTTTATGGACTTTGAGTACTCTTCGTTATCTCCATATCCTTCATCCACAGGGATGAGAATTTCGTATAGCTCCTCATGGTTAATAATGTATCATCATAATATCTTTCATTTTTTCAGTTTTTGATGAAGTTTACGATATCTTACAGAAATGAGAATAAAATATGATTAATTTGAGGATCATGTTTTCTTAGTTGTATAGTACATTGTAACTGATACCTACTGCACTGAGTTCAACTCGGAATACTAGTAATTATTTCTTAAACCGCTTTTTTTGAGAATTTGTGAAATATTTCATTAGAAAGATTTTCTTTTTCACAAATATACAGTGTATAACAAGAAAAGCCAAAAGCCTTTTTCAAGGATATGTATTGTGATTATTTTCTTTCATTTTTCAGGTGTCTCTATTAACATAAGCATGCAGTATAACATGTATGGTGGAAACGTAGGACGTCTAAGGTTGTACCTAAAAAACGACAATAAAACAGAGATTACATTACTTGATTTAAGTGGCGATCAAGGCAATTCATGGAAAAATTATACAAACATCACAGAAGTAACAACAAAATCAAAGGTTTTACAGAAAAAAATTCTTTTAATTTATATTTACTTGTATTTAAGGATCTAGAACATTTTTAGAGTTACATGTGTATAATACATGTATATGTGAGATATATCCTTTACAGCAATTAGTGTTTGTTAGAATTTAATTGAAAAATAAAAGTAAGTCTTAATTACTACAGAATTTAGAGTGTCTAACAAAATGTTTTTATGTAAATTGTATATTACAAATATGGAGTGCCTAACAAAATTTTTGAATGTGAATTATCTAACTGCAGTTTATAAGAATTATGGACAACCGTTAAATCAGACGTCAGCTTTAGCAAATATCAACGAAACATAAAAAAAATGTTTAAAGATAAATTGATAATTTAATAAAAATAGACAAATACATTATCATTTTTAGGTCACCTGGGTCACTCAGATGACCTACTGCTATCGGTTTTCGTCCGTCGTCGTGCGTCGTCTGTCGTGTGTTAACATTTGAACATTTTCATCTTCTTCTTTAAAACCCAGAACCAATTTCAACCAAATTTGGTATACAGCATCTATGGGTAAAGGAGAACGAAAATTTTGAATTTGATGGTCCTCGCCCCCCTTGGGCCTGAGGGGTGGGGCCAAAATCACTATAATTAATGAAATCTTTAATGATATTCTTCTTTACTTCTTGACATCAAGCAGTCAAACTGTTGGCATGAATACTGTAAATGTATTATATTTAGCGTGTACAATACTTAGCGGAAAATGATTTTAAAACAAGGTTAGCGTAGATTTGATTTAACGCATTTCTTGATGTTCGTATTCATGTATCAATGTTTAAGACATTTAGCGATACACTTGAATTAGCGGAAGTATCTTTCCACCAAAAGCGCTAAAAAGAATACACCGCCAAATGTAATACGTTTACTGTATAATAAGCACTGAGTCCCCTACCAAAATTGTTAATTTTATAGGCTAAGGGTCAGGTGTACTGGTGTTAGATGGGGGGCTCTATTGATTATATTGTGAAAATGCATCAATTCTTTGAAAATCTTCATCTCTGCTCCTGGGTATTAAAGGAACTAACTAACTACATAGTTATGATGAGCAAAGGTTCCTCTACCAAAATTGTGAATTTTATGGCCCCAGGGTCAGGGGTTCTGGTGTTAGGGCCGGGCTCTATTGATTATGTAGTGAAAATGCATTTATTCTTTGAAAATTTTCTTCTCTGCTCCTATGTATTTATTAAAAAAACTATCTACAAAGTTATGATGAGCAAGAATGCCTCTATCAAAATTGTGAATTTTATGGCCCCAGGATCAGGGGTTCTGGTGTTAGGGTTGGGCTCTATTGATTATATATAGTGAAATGCATTAATTTTTTGAAAATCTTCTTCTTTACTTCTGGGTATTGATTTAAATAACTAACTACATAGTTATGCTGAGCAAGAGTGCCTCTACCACAATTATGAATTTTATGGACCCAAGATCAGGAGTTCTGGTGTTAGGGCGGGGCTCTATTGATTATATATACATGTAGTGAAAATGCATTAAGTTTTTGAAAATCTTCTTCTTTGCTTCTGGATATTAATTAAAATGGCTAACTTCATAGTTCTGATGAGCAAGAGTGCCTCTACCAAAATAATGAATTTTATGGCCCCAGGGTTAGGGGTACTGGCCATGGTTTTAGGACGGGGCTCTATAATGATTATGTAGTGAAAATGCATAAGTTCTTTGAAAATCTTCCTCTCTGTTCCTGGGTATTAAATAAACTTACTAACTACATATTTATGATGAGCAAGAGTGCCTCTACCAAAATTGTGAATTTCATGGCCCCAGGATCAGGTGTTCTGGTGTTAGGGTGAGGCTCTATAATGAATATATAGGGAAAATACGTTACATCTTTGAAAATCTTCTCTGCTCCTCGGTAATAAGCAGATGGACTACTTATATAGTTATGATGTGCAAGAGATCTTCTTCCAGAATTGTGAGTTTCAAGGCCCCTGGGTCAGGGATACCACAGAGGGGCTCTACTTATATACTGAAAATGAAATCTGCACCTTGGTATCTATCAAACATTTTTGATGAGCAAGTGTGACTTTTCAAAAATTGTGCAATTATGGACCAGGGGTTCATGTGTGGTAGGGGCAATTCTGATTATAGCTGATTATTACTGATTAGTTTTAAGGCATTTTTTGTTCACCTACCTTGCCTATGGGTATTAAGTTACCAAACTAAGCAATTGCTAAGTGTATAGTTATGATAAGCAATCGTGCCTCTTTCAAAATTGTAATTGCCATAGCATCTAGTTTAAAACATGAACCAAATTCAATCATGTGAAATTTGTTGCAAGATGCTCAGGTGACCTATAAGGCCCATGGGCCTTATGTGTTTCTTCTGATCCCCTGCACGTGGACAGAAAATCATCAAATTAATTTTAATTCATTTTATTCTACGCTCTGTCTGATTATGTCATCTGTTTTTTTTAATTCACCAGGTTTATATAGAAGCAACACGCGGGGAAGCAGCTGAAGGATATATTGCTATCGACGATATACAGTTCAGGATAATTTACAACCGTAAGTGTTTATTGTACATTTGATTATTTAAGGAATGCATTTTATAGCTACCCAAGTTATACTAGTAGCTATTCAATTCATTCCTTATAATTTAATTTTCCATTATTGAAGGAACCGACTGGGGTTTCCAATGCACACTACATCCGCATCATAGTAAAAAGAAGCGTATTTAAGCGTTTTAAAGAAGCTTTTCTCACATTCATAAAATTAATAATTGATAAAATTTAAAAGAATGAAGAAATTACACGTTGAAAAATCTCATTTCAATTTAATTTAACTGATTTTTTAAACGATATTTTTAACTGATTGGTAGATTGATGTCGGAAACTGTGCTCTTGATGTTATGATAAACTGAAGCTCTTAAAAGAGGGGTCATTAAATTGTTATGAAAGTATAAAATACATGTATAAGCTTTTGAAGTTTAAAACATACGAATTTGATATTTTCTCAACCATATGTCATATTTTGTAATACTCCATAAAAACAGGGAAATTTTTATTAATTTTTACAATTGAGATGCCCCTCCGGAGAGAAGACCGTGATTTTTTGTGTCTCTTTAATAAAATGTACAATATAGCATTACTCATCATATATTCATATATTATAAATTGAACGAAAGTCTATTGTAGTATCTGTTCAATTTGCTTTAAAGACTAAAGTGCAAAAAGACACTTTTTAGGTCACCTGAGTCACTCAGATCAGGTGACCTATTGCTAGCCGTTTTGTCCGTCGTCGTGCGTCCTGTGTTAACATTTGAACATTTTTAGCTTTTTCTCTGCAACCACTCAACCAATTCCAACCAATTTTTGCATAAAGCATCTATGGGAACAGTGAAACAAAAAACAATGAATTTCATGGTCCCTGCACCCGTGGGACCTGGGGGTGGGGCCAAAACCACCAAAATTAATGCAATATTTAAAACTTTTCTTTTTTGGACATCAAGCAGTCAAACTGTTGGCGTAATGTAATCAGCATGGAGTCCTCTACCAAAATTGTGAAATTCATGGTCCCGAATTAGAGGTTCTAGAGCAAAGACGGGCCTATATTTTCGTTGAAAATCTTCCTCTCTGCTCCTAGGTCTCAAACAAACAAACTTTAATTTATGTATAGTTATGATGTGGAAGAGTGCCTCTCCTAAAATTGTGAAATTCTGATTTTCATTGCCCTAGGGTCAGGAGATCTAGTGTTATGACGGGGCTCTATTGATTATTTAGTGAACATGCATAAATCTTTCTCTCTGCTCCTGGGTATTAAACAAACTAACTACATACATAATTATGATGAGCAAGGGCCATTCTTCCAGAATTATGTATTTCCATGCCCCAGGATCAGGAGTGCCATAGAGGATTGGTAATGTCTCTAATTATATACTGAAAATGAATTAATGCTTTGAAATTTACTTTCATATTAATCAAACATTTATGATGAACAAGGATGCCTTTTACTAAATTGTGAAATGTGTGGACCAATTAAGGCTCAGGGGTTCCTGTGGGGTGGGACACTGCTGATTATTGCTGATTATTACTGATTAGTAGAAATTCTTTTTTTTTTGTTCCCCTACCCTGTAAATAGGTATTTAGTAACCAAACTAAACATGCTTAATGTATAGTTATGATCAGCTATGGTGCCTCTTTCATAATTGTGAGTGTCAAGGCCTCTGGTTTAAAACATTAACCAAATTCAATTGTTGGAAAGTGTTTGCATGATGCTTCGGTGACCTATAAGGCACATGGGCCCCTTGTCTATATAATCCTAAAGTAAATGTGCCAGTATTTTGAGGCGATCCTTTAAAAATACCTGGACGGTAGATTTACCTTAAACTTCGCATGTACACTGAAGTCAATGTCAGTTACATATGGCATAAAATTAAAGAGTTTCTCTATTGTAATTTTCAAAAAATAAAACCCCACTCGGCTCCCTTAAGTATTGAAATTATTTCGAATTTTCTTTCAAAAACTCTTTCATGTCAAGCTGCAGCTGATTGATACGTTTTTGCCATAAGTCATTGTGACCTAGGCAACGCATGTTATACGACGTAGACAATTTTTTTATCCAATCAAATGGCGCGTTAAAGCAAAACATATATTTTCTAATAATAAAACAGCTCTAAAAGAAAATTTTGAATATATACCCTTTGTAAATGAAGATTCAATTAGGAACTGGAAGAGTGCCAGTCAGAAATGTAGAAGAATAATGGACACATACCCTGTAGCCATACATCAGATAGAAAACAGCACCTGTTGGCTAGACAGTCCAGAGCAATGGATAGGTGTATTCAAAGCAAGGAAAATGTATTCAGGCAAAGACGGTATGTAAAATGTATAGAAAATTAGATTTACTCTTAAATGTGCTCTAACAATTCTACATGGAACAATAAGTTTAATGATTGACTTAATACATATACTTTAAACCATGTTTTAACAGCACACTTTAAACACACAATATTTACAACCACTCAATAGATTCTCCTTACTTTCTTGAGAAAACCATTGCCATTTATCAGTTGATAAACAGTATTAAGCATATCCCATTTACAAATATCTTCGTCAGTGGTTCTCCACTGTGACGTATACTAGATAACCAATGATGAAATATTTTATTTATGTGATTCTACTATAGATAATTAATTTTAAATATATAGATATAACCAATACAATGTCTGTCTTTGTGTGTAAGTATTGGAGTAAATTTTGCAGCTATTGCAAAATAAACCTAATTAATTAAAAAAATAAAAATTTCTTAACCTATTTTCTTTGAAATACCTTATAGCGGGTTATTTTAGCGGGATGCTCATTTTGGCTAATTTTGGCGTTTTGATGGTAGCCCGCTAAAATAGTAAGTTCTTTTCTAAGTGTTTATCTGCAAAGAGCTGAAACTCTGTGTCTGCTGAAATAAATTACGCCAAAATTAATGACATACCTTTGAGCAGGTAAAACGCCAGATTTTACACCCGCCAAGAAAACTCGCTATACGGTATATGGATCATCAGTAAACAAAAAGGAAAACATTACCCTTATTGTATGACACATATATATTTGAGAAAGTATACAAAAAGGAAAACTGTATGGTGGAAAATATGAACAAAATATTCTTTCTCCGTGACTTATCATATATCAGATCGTGGAAGAAATCCTACGTTGGTAGGGCTACTGAGAAGAGCAAACAACATTACTACTACGGTTTGGGAAGATTTAGAACTAAATAATTCAAGACCATTTGCTTGCGAATCAGGTTTGTGTATTAACATATAATGTATTGATATCATTATCATAGTTTAACGTTAGGTCCAGAAATAACAATCTATCTTGATTTAAATACCTGGACATATTTCGTAAATAAATATAATAGGTAAATAAAAACAAATATGAGAATTAAAAAAATATATACCGTATAAGTGGAAATTTTAGCGAGACGCAAATTTAGTGAGTTGTCCTTAAAAACTGTAATTTATATTTAGCGAGATGTTATTTTAGCGATTAAAGAAGCTATTATAAATCAAACGCAATTAACTTTTAGCGATATTCAGTTTTAGCGGAATCGGGATCCTCGCTAATAATGCCAAAAATAAATCATCGCTAAAAATTCTACTTATACGATACATCATACAATAATATTTCTTATATTGTTTTAGATCACCACTGCCAAAGACTCTTTCTGATATTTTTTCGTGACCTTTCTAGAACATTGAATTGTTTTCTTAAAAAAAAAAATTACTTTAATGATATTTCATTACTTTGACACTTTCGTATTTGGTATTGTTTGGTACTTTGATTTAGTATGAAATTGAAATTAAACTTGGATTTTTTTCTTTAGAAAAAAAAAGCAAATTATAGCACGCAAATTATTTAATTCCTGCATCATTGATAAAAATTTTGAAAATTATACATCTATTTGAATAAAGTAACAATGATCTTTGCTAAAAATTTTACAAAAACATAATAGATTGAATCAGAATGATTAAGGGGTTCTTCCTGACAACATTTTTATAGTTTCTGGTACCAAGGTCTTTCATAAACATTTTATTTTGGAATGTGGTTTTTTTGTTTTCTGTTTTTTTTTAAATGGTGTTCCTTTTTTAAGTCGACCTGTTTTTTTTTTCTACGAAGAAAACCTTTTACAGGAGAAAAAGGAAACTCTTACTGTGCATGACCTTTTACTTGATATTTTCTTTTTTTCAATAACACTATTATCTTTTATTTTATGTTGATTCGATTTATCCAGTGAGCTCGAAATAAAAAACCCCACAGAGTTTGCCATATGATTCATAACTGGATGTATCATATAATTTGATTTGAATATTAAATGGGAAACTAAAAACTAAAGAATATGGCGAAAGGGAATGATTTATCAACTGTCAACATCTCTTGTGTATTCAATATCAACAGCGTATGTTGGTTGTGCATATGACTCCTAATCGATTCGATACACAAGAACATGATCAAAACACGATCAAATTATTGATTTTGTAATGTTCGTAATTATTCCTCCTCCTTTCTCTATATATCGAACCCTTCACGGTAGCTCAGTGAGTAGAGCGCCCGCTCCGAGATCGGAAGGACTAAAGTTCGAATCTCGGCGACTGACCTAAGTCGATAAAAAAAATGGGTAGCAATTGTTCCTTCGCCATGCTCTCGAGACTTTGAACTGAAAATGCGGGTCCTTCAGATGAGATCTTAAATCAGAGGCCCGTGCCACAGCGGTCGTTGGCACGATAAAAATCCCTCACTGCTCAATGGCCCTGAGTGCCGAGTAAAGGTCAAAATTTGAAGCCCTTCACGGGTATATGGTGAAGTCTCTATATGAGTGAAAAATTCTCTAATGGGACATAAAATGATATACAATATCTACATATAAAAGGTATTTTTATCATAGATTTTATCTTTTAAAAAAATAGTTTTACTAATATACTCGTATGTCATAGGAAATCAAAATATCTTGCCATTTGGGAAAGATTATATTTCTCGATTTAAAAATAAGCATCTCGTAAAATAGACAAAAACGTTGATCATGACCGGCAATTACTTTGAAAACAAAAAAAATTACAATTTATCACTCATATGAAGAATATGTGATTGTTTTTTTTCTATTTCAATCATGTTTTTACTCTTACAGAAAGATTGAATTCAACCCAAAAATGCAAACCGAATATGAAGAAAGGAAATCTCAATTTCAACAATTCTCTAACTGAGGAATCTATCGGTAACAGATATTATATATCCAAAATTTGATATACAGGATATTGCAAAAACATTAACAAACAAAATTGATTTTCCCCTTACCATTCCAGAAACATTTATGATACCTGTCCTCATTGCTTCTCTATTCCTCATTATTGCAGTCATTGTTGGGATAGCTATTCTTTATAAACGGTAAGCGAGTACATATTCATGCAGTCTAACAGAGGATTCCATTTCAATTGGAAAATATATTATCAAATGAATTTTTAGAGTTTCATAATAGAATATGTACTTTTATAGGAAGAAAAATAGCGAGAAAAATGGAAACATTTCCTCTGTAGAATTATCAACTTTAGCAAACACGAGTCGGCATCAAGAAACATTGTCTACTGGTAAAAACACAATGAGTCCCAAACTTTTGGAAGAAGACTACGACCATCTCCACGACGAAAAGAATACTAGGACGTCACCAGATGGAGTCTATAGTCACATGTTAGACAATCAATACGGTGTACAAGAAAAAGAATTATCCAATGATACGTATGACTATCCCGTAGGCTCGGAAAATGAATATGAAGCATCACAACGTCACAAAATTAACAATATTATGACGTCAACGAAAGATGATCTTTATAACCACATGTTAGACAATCAGTATGGTCAAAAAGAAAATTTATCTCATGATACTTACGACCACGCCATGAGGTTGGAGGGTGAATATGGAGCTCAACGCTGTAATCAGAATTTGAATGATACATCCCAGCAGGCACACAACGTTGTTTAAACGTTGAATATTAGTTGAAGTTGGGTTTAGACGTTGATAAATTTAGATACAATATTGATTCAACGTTGACTTTTCAACATCGAAAATTTAACGTTGAATCAACATTGAATTCAAATTGAGTTGAATTGCCAACATTGATTCAACGTCGGATCTTCGCTGAGTGGGCCAATCCTATTTTTCGCTGATAAATAATTTCAACTATGATAGTGTCGGACTATAACACTGTCGGACCATAACGAGGTCGGACTTAACAAAGTCGCACTACCGTATATCATTACTAACTATTATAACTTACAAGGACGGTAAGTATAGGAATTTTACACCTTCAATGATAATTATGAATTCAGTACGAATCTGCCAAAGTACCAATTAAGAGCATACACAGTAGGACATCAATATTCAAAAAGACAGCATAACACAACCCTCAGGACTCAACACCAAGATTTAATAAAAAAAAAATACTCTTTTAAGAAAACATTTCGGCATGTCAGAGTACTAATATCATTGAAGAGACAACATTTGTCGAAATGCATTTCTGGTTTGCAGATTTGCATCTTACCTTGGAATGGTTTCATGTTCTGGACCACATGTGAAAATACAAAACGTTTGTAAATGCTCGGGTTTTGTAACATGATTAATTTATAAAATGTATTTTGGTGAAAATTATTGTAACACAATTAACTATTGATAGGAAATTTAACACTTACTGTGTACAATATATTTTTTTTCATTTAGTGATATACCGTATGTTTTCATTTAAGGGGTCCCGATCCTCTGCTATAAATTTCACCTTAGAAAGTTTTAAATTTGTAATATTGATTTTCATTAACAACAATAACATAAGAACCACATGGGAAATAGTTTGAAGTATAAAGCGCTGCTTATTTTTTCAGAAATGTTTTTTAAATGTAGATCATGAAATGAAGTAATTGAACACAGAGAATAGAAAGAGTAACGATTTATTACCACATTAAAAATAATATATGAGGTGCATATGAAAATAATACTTACTATTATACCTATTTAAATGACATGTTAGAAAACATCATGGAGCGATGTTTCTTAAGTCAGAAAATCACAATGTTGGATGTGGTTGTAAGAAAAAAATATATCTCTGATGAGGAGTTATCTTTCTTCTAAATAATTCTTCATGTGAAAAAAAATCATTCTTATAAAAATACTGTATTAAGTACTTGATATATTAAACCATTTTTAAAATGGTTCATAAAAAGATACAACTTATTCAGTTTATAAGGCATTTGATGTTGGATCTAAATGTTTTATTGTTAAATATAATTAAAAAATTACAAAGAAATTTGCAAAAGAAATAGAAAGTAATGTTTCCATCATATGTTTGATATCATCTAATTGACTACTCAGAGCTCTCAGGAAACTGAATAAGAAAACTATGAGTACATGTAGTATTACTATTTCGTACTTTGACAGTTATCTGTTTTATGAGAGGGTCGCTATCCCTTCAACAATTATGAAGGCATCTTAGCAACCGTGCAAGAAAACAGTTGAAATTTTAAGTACATGTATGTATATTATTACAATATGACACCCCCCTTTCCAAAATAAATAATTGAATAAATGTTGAATCAACTGTTTTTCAACATATAATCAACGTTGATTATCAATGTTGATTCAATGTTAAGACTTCAACGTTGATACAAATTTTCAAAATCTAACATAAAATCAATGTTGAATCAACATAGAAAAACAACGTTGATTCAAAGTTTATTCAATGTTGTGTGCCTGCTGGGATACGATCGTCCAGTACTCAATACCGTTGATAATGATTGCAGTTAACAAAATTTAGCAGAGTCAGAGTCAGTATTTTTATAATACTGGTTGAACAAAAATTAAAATAAACAAACAAAAATAAATATTCGTTGCATCTTAATAAGTCAACTTACACAATCTTGTAATCCAAGCAAAATCGTTGTCGATGAATTACATATCATTACAACTTTTAGCTTTGAAAATGTATTTCATATTGATATTTATCATCGTCTTTATATTTAATAATAGTTTTGCATCGAAATCGCCGAGTAAGTTTTACAAAGTGTGAAATTGGCTGAATATGGGTCTATGAAATTGCTTGTTCTTATCAATCTGAATTTGAATGTTGATACGATAATCTAAAGTAATTATTATTGTTAATTATAATACTTAGCTGTGTTTAACACTGCTAATCACTTGGGGCGTACTTATTAACTAAGTTTGCATCATTGTTTATCACAAGGTACGTTTTTGACAGTCGTATCACTTCACAAAGTACATATTTGTCTGTCTGTATATCTTTTTCTATCACAATTGCAAGGTGTGTATAAAACAAAAACATTAAAGAACTATTGTATGCATATATGGTCTGAAAAGAGGAAGACAGGAGAATGTTTTTATGTTCCTTAGTTCTCCTGCCAAACGACTGAGCTTGTTTTTTGATAAACAGGCAAAAACAAATAACATCATGCTGAAGTGAAATATGTCATTTATTAAAGTAAATGACGGAAAAGTAAAACACATTTAACAAATTGGGGGTCAGAAAAAGGAGGACTCAAATATAGAGTATTACACATCTTAGTCAAAATATTACACAATCTGACCCCCAGCACCATAATGACATTGTAACATGATGTACATAGGCAAAAGGGGGGTCAACCAGACTAGAATAATAATTCCAACCCTGTAATCTTTCACAAGGTACAATATGCATGCATTTTAAGTTGACCCCCTTATAAACATCATAAGTTTGGAAGACATATACAAAATGCTCTAAACTGCTGCCTGTCATCAAAAAAAGGTGGGAAAACAAAATAACAAACAGCCAATAACAATACGATCGCGCAGGCATTCAATTGAACACAACTATGTTTCTCTCACCGCCGAGGAAAAACCATATATAAAAAGCCACACTGCTTTATGCTGAAAAATCATATGGAAACCTGCAGACATAAGCAAAATTGCGAGGTACACAAAATAAATGTCGGACTCATTCTCAGTAACCTAATACATGGATTTGCCATTTATTACAATGTACAAAAAGTTTACTTGTTCAGTAAGAACCTGCGGTAGAAATAAGTACTATAAATCTCTTTTAAACCCATTCAAACACTATCAAAAAGGATTGGTAAAACATAACAACAAAAATATCAACCTGAAAGAAATTACAAGCATTGGTGGCAGAAGGGGTGGATGGTGGGTTCGAAAAATTCAGCAGTTCAATAAACCATGCTTTCTCGTTTGGTAAACGGATCAATAATGATCACGTGGAAAAGGGTAAAATTAGTTCAAAAAAGGAACCGAATAGCTACTTAGTATAAAACTATGTCCAATACAGACACTGTTTTATAATAACATAATAAAACAAGAACATGTCACATAAATGAAATTATTTGCAATAATTACTATTTTATGTTCCTTAGTTCTCCTGCCAAACGACTGAGCTTGTTTTTTGATAAACAGGCAAAAACAAATAACATCATGCTGAAGTGAAATATGTCATTTATTAAAGTAAATGACGGAAAAGTAAAACACATTTAACAAATTGGGGGTCAGAAAAAGGAGGACTCAAATATAGAGTATTACACATCTTAGTCAAAATATTACACAATCTGACCCCCAGCACCATAATGACATTGTAACATGATGTACATAGGCAAAAGGGGGGTTAACCAGACTAGAATAATAATTCCAACCCTGTAATCTTTCACAAGGTACAATATACATGCATTTTAAGTTGACCCCCTTATAAACATCATAAGTTTGGAAGACATATACAAAATGCTCTAAACTGCTGCCTGTCATAAAAAAAGGTGGGAAAACAAAATAACAAACAGCCACAATCCAATCAGAGATTGGATCCACCCACCCAAAGGCGTCTTGGCAGGAGACGCAAAATTCCTCAACAGGATGATTAATACAAAAGCATTTAAACATCTTCTTTTTTTTTAAATTGACATATACTCAGTTCAAAAGACAATACAATAGTTATTGTGAACAAGAAAAAGAAACATCCAATAAGACTGAGTGAAAATATTACAAAGGGCAAAACATCAAATAATTTTAAAAAGTGTACAAAACACCTGTCTGTAGTAAATATTAACCATACAGGAAAATGGGAATTTATAATCATGGACACTGACCTTGTAAACTGCAGACAACTTCTGACCAGTCAACAAAGTTGTTAAACTTACATCATTCTGCATCAAAATGTGCCTCTTGACTGCAGACAACTTCTGACCAGTCAACAAAGGTATCAAACATACACCATGCTGCAGTCAACAAAGTTGTTAAACTTACACCATTCTGCATCAAATATGCCTCTTGACTGCAGACAACTTCTGACCAGTCAACAAAGGTATCAAACATACACCATGCTGCAGTCAACAGAGTTGTTAAACTTACACCATCCTGCATCAAAATGTGCCTCTTTACTGCAGACAACTTCTAACCAGTCAACAAAGGTATCAAACAAACACCATGCAGCCTTTAAGTGCCTCTTAACTGCAGGTAACTTTTGTTCAGTCAACAAAGTTGCTAAACATACACCATGCTGCCTAGACATAAAAATATGCCTCGTGACTGCAGACAGTTAACTTCTGAAGCAGTCAACAAAGGTGTCAAACATACACCATGCTGCATAAAATGTGTCACATGACTGCAGACAACTTCTGACCAGTCAACCGAGATGTCAAACTTATAAAAATGTTCCTCTTAACTGCAGACAATTTCTGACCACTCGAGAGGAAAAACAGATTACCAAACTGAGGGTTTGAATTTGTGAGGATAGGTATAAGGAACCAACAGACAACTTCTGGCTTGGCTTGGCGGAATCTGACAATACAGATAATGTCATACATATGGTATAATGCTCTGACATACTATTGGTAACTGATGTCAGCAAGAGACATTTCAAATAAATTAATAAATACTGTGTATATTTAAAGTAATGAAACTGCCTCAACACGTATGGCCCCGTGCTCAGTGACATATAG